CTATAATTCTTTATATTAATAATATAATATATTTTATTAATACTACAAGCTTATTATATTACTAATATATTTAATTATATTACTATTATAATATACGTAATTTATTATAATAGCTAATATTAATATTAATAGCCTTTTTTAAATAATTATTAAATAAATAATTTATTAAGTATCTTCTACTTAGAAATTAGCTATTATTATTCTATTGTTATTTTATCTTATATATCTATCTCTGATAAGGTGCGTTAGACAAGGGTCTGTAACAAAACTATCCTATCTATCTTAATAATTTAATAAGTATAGGACTTTGTAAAAGTATTTTACCTTAATTATGTAAAGAGCTTTATACGCGCTGTTTTTAAATAATACTTATTTAATAAAATTTAGTATTAAAAATTATTTATAAAAAAAATATATACTAGTCTCTATAAATATTAATTAATAATATATTTAAATAATTATATTATTTAAATAGCCTACTTAATAATTAAGCACTGTAAATATTTTACTAAAGATATTAACTTTTAATTTTCTAGTCGAGTTTATAATATTTTACTTATCGCGTAGACGAAAAACCAGTATATTTAATATATATAGTTTAAAATAGATAGTATTAATAGATTTTTAATCCCTTTTTTAAAAAATAGTATTTAATAAATCTACTCTATTTAAGATCTTATCCGCGAATTTATAATCACGGAAAGCCTGGTTAACTAAAGTTAAAAAAAAAATATTAAAAGATTTAATAAAAGTAGAATTCTTTTTATATATTTTTTATAAAAACTATATACTGGGAGATCAAATTACTACTTTTTTTAAAGTTTTTTTAAATAATCTTAATTATAGTTAAGAATAAATATAACTTTACCTTTAATCTACTTAATACTAAGATAAAAGTACTATAATAAAATTAATATAAATAAAAAATTAATAATATAATTTATATTTTATAATATATTATTATAATAGCTATATATAAATTCTTTTCTATTTTAAAATTATTATATTTCTAGACTAAATTTTAATAAATTATAAACTTGTATATCTTATCTATTCTAATTAATATGAAATAATATAGTAGTATAGATATACTAAATTCCATTTTAAATTTTTTTAAATATATATTACGATACTTATAAAAGTCCTGATATTACAAGTATCTTTAAATAATTCTAAAATTATTTTAAAAGAATTTATCTTTTAATATTTAAATATTAAATATATTTAATAATCACTCAAGATTTTTCTTTATTTACTAGATAATTTATTAAATTATTAAAGATAATTAAAAATAAAATAATTAACTTTTTTAATTATTATATTAATATATTTTAAAATATAATAGTTTTATCGATAGATAAAATCTATATTTAAATCTCTTTTTATTCTATTAAAAATACTTAAAACTAGAGTCCCACCTTTACTAAAACATTTTTTTAAATTTCTTCTTAAAAATTCTATAAAATCTTTATAAATCTAGATATTTAATAGCGAAACAGCGTGTTACGCCCGGGGCTTCGTCGTTAAGTCTGAGACCAGTTAGTGGATCACGTTTCAAGGGTTACTAATCTAAAGTCGATCCTTGACTTCTGTTATTGTTAGATTGCGATCTTAGTAGAATAGGAGTTACTCTAAACTTCTATTAATACTAGACTACTGTCGTTATAGAGATACAGTTAATACTAAACTACTATTAATATTAGATTACTGTCGTTGCAGAGATATAGTTAATACTAGATTACTATTAATACTAAATTTAAATTTAAAGAGCTAAATTTATTAAATATATATATTTAATAATTAAAAGAGTATAAATAAGTTAAAATTAATTATACTATTAAAGGTAACTCTATAATAATAATTTAAATTAATTATAAAAAATTAAATTAAATATATAAAATGAGTATTTTTATATATCCTTAAATATCTATTTCTATTATAATTTTTTTAGAGGTAGGAGATAAAATATATTTAATTATAATACGTAATATTATATATCTCCAGTATACTTTTTTTAAAATAGATTTTAAAATAGATATTATATAATAGAGCTATTATTAACGTCTATAACTCTTCCCAAATAACTATTAGATAAACGATTTATTAGATATCTTTTACTTAGAAATTGGCTATTATTATCCTATTATTATTCTACCTTATATATCCATCTCTGATAAAATGCGCTAGATAAGGGTCTGTAACACAGCGCTTTTATAATTTTTAATAAAACTAATATAATTAGTAGTAATTAATAGATCTAGATAAGATATTCTATATATATTAAAATACTCGAGAATTTAATTATATTTTCTTTCAATACAGTCAAGAATAGATCGTTGTATTTTAGAATTATTATAATTTTCGAGTTTAATTATTATAAAATCTTCTAGTAATATAACACGGTTAATAAATTTTATTTAAAATAAAAAAAGATAGCAATTATTTCTAAGGATAAACTTAAAAATAAAGCTTAATTAAACAAAGCGAATATAGAATAGAAGATATTATAGATTTTATATTATTTAATATTTATAGTAGTTTTTCATAGCGCGTAGGTATATAATTATATTTTTTAAGTCTTTTAAATAAAGAATATTTAAATTTTTAAAAAGAGCCTTAAAGGACCGCTAAGAGCGGTTAAGATACCTACAACTAGCCTTGGATAAATACAGTCATACTAATGCTATTGTATGTCTTTATTTTTTTTTTTTTTTTTGCTGATTCTTTGACCAGAAAACTTCTTGCTAGGTCATTGCACTTACCACCAGTGCGCACTAGGGCACGTTTTGTGAGATACCATGGCTATTCAGGAAGAAGAACGTGCATACTCCAGCCAGATCATACAAGTAGGACTCCAATAATGGCTTTTTCTGGGCCAGTATCAATTGTCTTGGTTTACCTAATAGACTACATGTCCAACGTACTACGTGCATTTAGTATTCAGATGTGGAAAGCATGCTAGGCGTCATGAAGCAGTAACGATACAAAAATCAATCTCGGGATTCCCGCGCTCATGGTATAAGCATTGCATACACCTTGCAGGGAGCATGGTATGTCTGTTCTATCTCTGCGATTCATAGAGCGAAGCACAGCCAAATCCTGCTCCCCGAGGGAATCACCATACCGACAGCCAGACCAATCTGCTTTTTTAGCAAAGACTGAGACCGCCCCGGGCTGATTCTTGGGCTAAGGCGGAGGGCGCCCTCGACGTCGCCTCGCATGGGGACCGGCAACGACATACACCCTGCGCCAAAGCCTTTTGATACCCGCAGTTTTCATACAAGCAGTAATGTAACCCTAGTCTAACCTATCAAGGGTCATAGATGACCCCAGATCTAACCAACCTGGCATAAGTTCTAACCTTTTCTGATAAACAACATACCCAACTTTCAACCTATTATGGACTAAACCTAGCTGTGCATGCAAGTAGCTACATGGATCATGTCGATCAAGCCTTTGTATACATTGGCTAAGTGAGCTACAGTACATGAAGGCATTACAAATTATTGTATGTTCCAGTCTTGCATACTATAACAGTTATAATAGAAATATTGCCTTGTCAAATAATCTATCTAACAAAGCGATACTTAGATGTTGGTATATTTAGATACACTGTTAACTAAATATAAGTTATACACCACCGTCACCAAAAGACTCCAGGATTTTGCAGTAGAATCACAGCTTCCCCGGGTCAAGACATATTTTCATTGCATGTGCAAGTCCTTGTATGCCAGGGTCCAGTAAGGTTTGCGAGAGCTTTTGATCCATATTCAACTCTTCTTCTTTCCTCAACACACACTTGATATACTCGGCACGTTCGTATAAGCGACGCCTTGATTCTTCCTCCTTATGCAACCCGGTGCAGTCGTAATCATTTGGGTCATCCATTGGCGGTGGTACCAGGCTCAACAACAAAGGTGGTTCAACAAGTTCCCATGGTACGGTAGAAGCTCCCTCCCAGTCAACAATAACAAGGATTTTGAAATCATTGTCGAGAATGATGTTACTATGGTAAAAGTCGGGGTGATAAATCGGGAAAGGTCCATGGTTGGTGGCCGAAATTTTGTGTGCCACTGTTTGTAGATAGTGCGGAAAATTCCTGATAGAGCTTAAAACCTCTTCCACTGGACCGCCATTCATAGCTTCTCTGATAGCCTGATCAGAAAATGGGAATTTTGCGTTCCTAGCCCATGCCTTCAAGAATTCAGCAGCTGTCACGAACGGTCCACCTAATCTAGGAATTGGCCCGACATCAAATGAGCTCTCACTTCGCCTGACAATTGAACCAATTTTTGGTAATCTGACCGAGGTCATTTGTACCTTGATAACAAATTAGTTATACTCATTGTCAGAAGTTAAGATTCATGCTTGAATTTCAGCAACTTCATCATAGAACGGCCTTCTCTCCGCCAATTGAGCCTGGCCATGATGACTGTCATAGCCTCCTTCAGCATCCATCGCAGATGAGCCAAGTAGAAATTCCATCAGAATAAATGCAGAGCCAACAATATTTTCATCGTTGACCTCATACCCAAAAACCTTCGGTATTGGGATATTCGTTCGGGCCCTGACGAGATCCATGGTATCTATCTCGGCCCGGAGGAGGCTCGTGGTCAAAGGCGTTGACGGCTCAAGTTGGACTCTGGCGATCCATTGCACATCTCCAAAACTGAGTATTCTTATAAGATGTATCCCACCAATTGTACTTTTCTCTAGTAAGGTACAAGGGGAATCCGAATTTCTGGATAAAGCATATTGGCACAGTGCGCGTCAGTCCACTGTATCGATGCAAGCATCCCTAATACGCCTGCAGAATGGGTTTCGATGATAAAAATCATCATCTTTCCAATTCGAGGTGGGCAAGGCTTCTGTGTCCATGACAGGGGGGATGCTAAGCCGGCCGGTGGATGAGGCTGTTCGTATGATTTTGGACGGTTTAGCGATCCGAGAACACTCTAGGTGGTTGCAGCGACAGGTTATAGAGACCTCTATATGTAGAATGGCAGGTGGTACATATGTTCTAAGACAATGATTGCCAACGAGTGATATGAACGAAGTTACTGAGGTGGCTGATGGAGGATTGATCACGTCACCCAGGGTTTAGCTACCTAAAATTACCGAGGATGCCGCTCCGCTGACATTGGATAACAGGGAGAGTCTGACCAACAAAGTCGCCATGGGGACACCCTAAGAGGATTCATAGCACTCTCAGAAGGGCCAACAGCCCGTATAAATAAGGCACTGACAGTAGGGGGATATGGACCGGTGTATCTGCAAAGAGAATCCCAAAACTCGCGATAAAATAGCATGCTTTCTTGCAATTCCTTTGTAAGTCTGTGCGCCAGAAGACTAACGACCTCACAGATTTCAGCATTGTGTAATCTGACCAGACTTGAAGTAGGCCCAATGCGAGCAGACCTGGTTCTAAAAACACTGAGTACTTGGACAAATACAGAATAGCTCGACGGTAAAGAAACACTTCCATTATCCAACTAATAATGGACGAGATTGTTAGACATACTCCGGGCAAAATTCATCTATCTTCTTTCATGGAACACCAACTTAAGAGGCCCAGTTACCAAGGTAAATGTATCTCGTTTACCATCCAAGAACGCGTCAACCGTCTGCTCTTGGGCAAATTGGACATCATATCTCGTCAGAATCTCGGCAGTCACACGACGAAGCTCCATCAGAGCAAGTTGCTTCCCAACGCAGGAATAGGGGCCTAGGCCTAGACATTAGCATCGTGGATAAGGGAGTGTATATTAACAGTTGGCTCTGTAATAAAACCGAATCTATCAAACCTACCCGCATTGAATGGAATGAAGACGGATGCGTCTTTTACTAGTTCGGGCTGCGTCATCCACCTCTCTGGAAGAAACTCCTCGGGCCGAACAAAGGCTCGTTCGTCTAACAAGTGTTAATATTGTTGGCTATGGGTGGGTCGATATTAGGGTAACGCCATACCTCGAAACAATGTGTGTGTCGGAATGCACACCATCACGTCACCAGGAATATATCTATCACCAATCTGGAGACCCTCCGGTGGAGTTATTCGTTGGGTACCTGATGGTACAGCAGGATGGAGACGCAAGGTTTCATTTATAAGTGCGTCGAGAGTCTTAGCACCAGTCAGCTTCTCCTGGGTCAAGTCAGGTAAAGCGTCTAGTTCTGTCTGAAGCTTTGTTTGCCAGGTGTGATCCGCAGCGAGATGGAAAAACAGATTAGTCAACGTGGCAGCAGTGGTATCACTACAGAGATTAGTGTACTGCATAATGATCACGGTTACCGCGTGTGTGATAGAACTTCTTACCTCCCTGCGACAATAATCAGATATGCGTCACCGTGTAGGTCAAGGTGATCCTGCTTCGTCTTTGGGCCCTTTTGAAAAGCATCAAGGATCCAAGAAAACACGTCTGGGCAATCAGGGTTATTCTGCGACACTTTAGTATTTTCTTACATTCACAGATCTTAAACCAGAGTTTATTCATACCTTGATTCTTTCCTCAACTCTGCCGCCAACCCAATTCCAAAATTTGAGGTAGTCCGAGTTAAGGACCGGGATTCTTTTGAAAAACGGAAATAGCCATGTCAGGTGGCTAAACAAGCCGATACTCTTCATATCCGCATGCAGCTGAGTCGAGAAATATGTATCTTGGCCGCCTACCAGCATGTCAAAGGATTTACCAAAAGACAGATCACCCATGACATCGAAGCTGTAGTAGTTGAACCACTTCGCCATATCCATCGGTTTGCCAACATTCTTACGGATAGCTTCGAGAAGCTGCTCTGCGTAATGCGAAACACGAGGCTCGTAATCGCGCAATGCTGTATTACCCTGGCAGTTAGAACACAGGGAGCATAAGGTAAAACGATATATCAGCTCACCCCTCGAACTAAAGCCTTGATCCCACACCTTCCTACGGCGAGCGTGTTCTTTCTTGTCTCGGGACATATGGAGAGATACTCTGGGTTCCAGAACGGTATACCATGGTCCTTTGCTAACTTTCGCCTGGCCGCTGTAGAGTGCTTTGACGGCTCTAGGGTCAGCAATTGAGAGCTCGGTGGGGCCTATGGACATATTAGGGAAAGGTGTAAGACGGCAAATGAGAATCCAGGGAGAAGGAGAATCACCTAATCGAACATAGTCGCCATATTGCCGATGCAGCTCACGAACTTCTTCGTAGAGATGTAGACTCTTGGCCGAAAGTGAGGTGACGTAGAAGTTCGAAAGCCGGGCGAGAAATGGACCAGGGTATCCGCCAAGACGATGCCAAAATGCACGATAAAAGAGCATGCTGGCGTACACTCCGAAAATGTGATATAGGACGACGGTAATTGCCCATCTTGGACGTGTGCCAATTGCGAAACCATCCAGTAAGGCAGAACGTTCCAGATAGACAAGGGCTGCGCTCAGTAGGATATATATGTTCACAATCCTGGGCGCCTTGACGTCCCACTCGCCATATCGATACAGAAGAAGATGGGTCGTCACGCCGCTAATGGTTGCCAAAACCCACAGGGTATCCATTGGCACAGGAGATGGATGGGTCATGCTAAAACTGTACGCAAAAGAAGTACTCCCACTTCGCTCTTTGCCCTTCCTATACCGTGTCTTTATTAAGGCTGCTGTCTATAACCGTGGCGGCTATTCCTCATGCTACCACTTGTTCCTCTCGCCTTTCAACGAATGAAAAATTTGCCTTTCGAAGGTTGTGGGTAGCCGAGGCCCGGCCCACGGCCTCAAGTGCGGGCAGCCAGTCCTTGCGTCAGATTGTTGCACTTGTTCTGCAGCTTCGCCTTGGCTCGGATGGACCGGGTGGCATGCGCGCCAAGGATCAGCATCGTTTTCGCCTAATCGGGTTGGATGGATCAACGACCCTCTCTTCCCAGCCAATTCCCCCGTAGTAAACTAGTAATGGCTTTTACCCCACAGTCTGGTACAGTATTTTAAGTTGAATCACCGGAACTGCGGGGGAAGAGGGAACTTGATTAGAACCTCTTGAATATCGCCATTATCGGAATTCACTGCGCTCACACTGGCAACAAGATGTGCAAGAGATATGTTCTTAACAATGAGTGAAACTTTACCACCTAATCCTCGTCGTCAGATAGTCGGTACGTCTACAAATGTTCTACATGCACCAGGTGCGCGGCGCACGCGCCGGGCGCCTCTTGCATGCCAGCATTGTCGACGTAGGAAGGTACGCTGTAATCTGGCGATAGAAGGCCCACCATGTGTCAACTGCCGCCTGGACGGCTTCACCTGCCTTCTTCCCCCAAGAAAATTGCCTCGCTGTCTTAAACCAAGGCTAGAAGCCCATAGCGATCACCCACCTGAGAGCATGCTTGTGGATAGGGACCAGGATATAAACGACGCTAAGGAACAGGGAGATAATAATAACACAAGTGGTCTAAGGCCGGCGCAACGCCATATTCCAACCTCCGGTATAGTTGTAATCTGCCGGAATTATCTTTGTGGCAGTCTAGTCGCTCATGCATCGCAGGTCCAAGGGATTCAATATCCTCGACCTTGGTCCCCTATGCATACTACCCCTACCTAAATGCTCCCAATCTTCATCGTCTTCCGGCGTCGGACATTACCTTCCTGGACTCCCAGAAATGTTTCAGTGTACCGTCAGGTGAATTCCTCGAGACGCTTATTTCGCACTACTTTCTATATGTGCACCCTTGCTTGCCTGTTATTAATGAGGCTGAGTTCTGGCCTGTATTTCGCCAGCGAGAACGACACAAACATTTTTCATTACTGGTATTTCAGGCGATGTTATTTGTCGCAAGCAGCGTATGTCTTGCTCCAACCAACATATTCCCCCAACTAACAATACCGCAGTATCTCCCTGTGGAATATGTGAAAAGAAGCGGTGTGCAATCGATCATTGCTCTCCGAGATACCTTCTATAGGCGCGCTAAGGTACTTGCACCCGCTAAACCCTCATACTCTCACGTCATGCCCTGAAGGAAGGTCTAAGAATATGACCAGTTGATTTACGATTTCGAACTCGAGAATGATCAACTTCGGCTTGGTCAAGCTGCAGTTCTGCTCACGTATCGGTGCTCTAGCACAGATCGCCTTAGCAATACGACATGGCTGGCACTTGGGATCCAGCATGCCCGTGCAGTCAAAGCCCATGTCTATCACCGTTACCCTACCAATGAAAGAGCCGCACGCGTTACGCTGAAACGTCTGTGGTGGTGTTTAATCCTGCGTGATAGGTTACTCTCTTTAGGGGTGCGACGAGCTCTCCAGATCCTCCCATGTCACTTTGACGTATCATCACACTCTCCACTCACCTACGAAGACCTGGAAGATGAAGTCAAAGCCTCTGAAGTCTACGATGCTGCTACGAAAAAAAGACTCATCGAAGTCGTAACGAGCCAGTTCCAGTTAGCTGCAACGATGACCTTACTCCTGATGACGGTGTATCCCCCCGGTGACCACCAAAGCTTGGGACAAGGCTTAGATCTAGTCCCGGCTCGAACGGACGATCTTAAAGAGCGCCTCCAATTCTGGGAATCAAACCATATGGTTCAGGTCGATGCATCCGACGGCCAGTGGCACCAGGCAGTGGTCTTTTATTGTCAACTAACCTCTTTATACTATCAGTAAGAGCTACAGATGCCATGTTAACGCGGGCTGCTTTGCTAATATGTACTTTCTGTATTTCTACCAGATCTGCTCGCCTAGTCCTGTATCACTATGTTTCCTTTTGCCTTTTCGCTCAAAAGAACCTGGAGTCCACCGCCCAGGATCTTGAAGACCCGGAGCTCGACTTAATGGACGCTTTGACGACAATGAATGACAGAGTAAAAAGGTTTGTGATCGACGGCACAGCAGGTCAATTACCCATTGGCGTCGTCGCATACACCGTTGCCCCGCAGATTCTGCTCAACATCAACCTCCGGCTCTGTCGGAACGACATAGAGAGACAGCGTCAAGAGCAGCCTCTTAGGTTTTACACCGAGATCTCTCGCCTTTACAATATACGCTACGATGTCGAATATATATCCGCCTGGATCCGAAATATAGTGCGTACGTTCGAATTTCGTGTATCCCACGGGGGCGTGGAACTCTTGAAACAGCGAAACCAGCCTGTCGATACACCATCTCAATCAGCTATCGCTACCGCCAATCGATGTTATAGGGGTGGACTGTCTGAACTCCTCAGTCGTCAGCCATCTGTCTATTTTGAGCTTGTTGCGGTTGTGGACTATTTTATGTCAACAGGCCGCGGGGCTTTTGAAGCCCCCAGTTCCATTCCTATCCTCCCGTCTATCCAATGTCTGCCTCTATATCAGGAGCCTAACCTACCGCTATCCTTGCCTGTCGCCAAGTTGGCAGCCGAGCAACCCCTGGCCGAACAAACTCTACTGTGCCCAGAAATGGAAAATTTGCATGAGGAGGCATCAGAAGCGTTCGACTCAGTCTCGTTAGACGGAATGTGGCTATTCCCAGCCTCAATTGAGAGTGCCGAAGTGATGGCCTCCGATAATGAGGGGATACAGATGGATGACATGCCGTTTACTGATGACGATCCGGTTTGTGCTAATAGTATATGGCACGACCTAGGCTTATGTGGGGAGTAGCGAAGAATGTGTACTACTATCTATTTCCTGGTTGTCAATTGAATGTGAATGTTTACTCCGTACAACGCAGTTCTGGCCGACACTAGTAGCAATCCCGACAACAACACTTCAGAAGCCTAATTAATTACCTGTCCTTGTGGTAAATACGTCCAATTCCCCACCGACACCTCAAACTCCCCATTCACACTTCCCGCGCGACCATTAGTAGTCGCATAAGGCCCGACTAACGTCCCCGTAAAGCCCGCACTCAGCTGGCCTCCGCGTGCGACCCCGTATGTCTGCATGAGATGTTTAGCATCTCGTGGTCCCGCAGCGAATGAGTAGTTCGTCCAGTTAAACGCTTTGATTTCCATAGTAACCGGTGTATCGATTGACATATGCGGTGGGAACGGGAACACCGTCTCTGGGACATAGCTCCCCGACATTCCACGGAACCGGAAAAAGGGTGCAAGCTCACTGGAAGACTTGGTATCGTCTCTCTGTCGAAGAAGGGCTATTCCCAGGTCGAAATGGTAGGCCTCCGTCAAGAATAGACTGATGCCAACTTCATCCTCATTGTTGTGTAGAGTCGAAGCGTTGATGTCTAGGTGATACGCGAAGAGACTGTCTGTCTGTCGTCGGCCGATGAATGTTTGGCCCTTACCGCCGGTGGATTGTCCGTCGGTAGAGGTTAGATTTAACATTGACGAACGAAGTACCAGTGCGTTCTCAAACCCTGGCGGCGACAAGAGGTAGGTATCCGGCGTTGGCAGTCGCCAATGTATCAAATTCAAGGGTAATGTCGAGTTCGGTGGGAACGTCAGATGATCAGGGCTATCGACATAAGGACCCTCACCGTTAGACACAAGGACAGGCTGGGAGGGGAGTTCCCATCCATTGGTGATGCCAGTCACATTCTGAAAGATGGGCCACTCCCCCGTTTCCCAAGTCACAGGGGTCATAACTGTCTCCCTGCCCATCGGATAATTTTTGAAATCAGGTCCAGATCGAGTTGACAACGCGGCTGCCCACCAGCAGCCCTGGGCATCCTGAAACAGATCGGCGTGTCCCACTGCTTGAAAGAAAGCTGTTGTATTCGCATTAGTGAGCACGGGATTGTGAGGCGCAGGATCATAGGGTCCGTTGATACTTCTCGACCGCGCCATAGTCACCATATGACCTTCTCCTGTGCCACCTTCTGCGAGCATTAGGTAGTAGTAGCCATCTTTCTTATATAGATGCGGACCCTCTGGCGCCAGGCCTCCCGTGCCATTCCATGGGTTTGTCCAGGCTCCCGTGTCGTCTGTCTGCAGGTTAATCGTGGCGGTTTGGATCCCAGGCCAGACTTTATATGCATGACTTCCTGTTACATAGACCTGTCCATCATCATCCCAAAACAATGAGGTATCATAACCCCCAAAGTTAAAATGCACGGGATCCGTCCAGCTATCCGAATTGAAAGGATCGTCTGTGCTGATCACAAAATTGTCCCAGCGCGATTCGTCATCGGGCGCCAAATCATCAAACACCAGGGTTGTACTAATCCAGAATGTACCTTTTCCATGGCCACTTCCATTGTTGGGGCTATTGCTCCCTTCTTCACGATACCTAAGCGTGGGTGCCCATATGCCACTTGTGTCCTTGATTGTATCCGCCAACTTCGGCAGCATCTCTGGCCGCGATATAGCATTTCCAATCAGCTTCCAGTTTCGCAAGTCTTTTGAGGCGTGGATGGGTATCCCTGGAAAGGCATTGAAGCTACTGGAGGCGCAAAAGTAGGTATTGCCCCAGGATGGAACGAATATGCAACTGGGATCTGGGTGGAACCCCGGCAGAATTGGATTGGTGTAAGTACTGTTCTGGTGGTTAACATGGCCCAAGGCCAGTCTGCCCATCAGCAAGAACACAAAAAAGGTTTCGGCCATCTTGAGGCACAATGCGAAGTATGACGGATGGAGAATAATACAGGGCATAAGGTGGGAAGATATGAAAGGTTCCTTAGATGAATCTTCTACGTTTTGGTTGGTGGACTATCCTAATAGTCGGCAAAGGGCTCCCGAGCAGAGATCTGTTGTGAGGCCGTGCACCACACCTTTTGCTCAACGCTATATCGAGAACAGTAGTGCTTAGTGTTTCCTATTCTAGCTTTCATGCTCTTAGAGTTGCGTGGTAGAGTTAGCCCTATTCCTCCATGTTCAACCGCACTGCGGGGTAGATGTGCATTTATCCAGACCCCGCATTGAGCCATCTGAACATTGTTTTCGATAGTAAGATGCTGAACCACTGAACGTTACAGGAACATATACCATTTGTGGAATTTCCTGCCCGTGGCCGCGGGTACTAATGCAGGAAGAGAGGTTAACAGTGATGTTCGACTCGACTTCTATGCTCATCTGCCCTCGTGGAATAGCCGCTAAAAGGCCCAAGGACCGGAAGGCCTTGCACCACAATGGCGATATATATGATACATGGAGCTGCAACGGTTTTGGCTATTAGTAAAGCACCATTATGAAGCTCAAATCTCTGTTTTACACCACTCTCCCGTTCTTGCAAGCCGCCGTAGCATGGCAAGTCCCAGAGAAATATGCCATCACTCCGTCCTCCAATGGCCGGTTCCTTCAAGACCTTGATGGAAAGCCATTCTTTTGGCAGGCGGACACAGCATAGCTGTTATTCCATCGCCTCAACTTCAGCGAGGCTGACATATACCTCTCGGACCGAGCGAGCAAGGGGTTCACGATGGTTCTAGCCGTTGGATTTACCCAGGCAGGCATCGACAGTCCTAACCGAAATGGCGACCTGCCTTTTATCAACGAAGACGTCACAAATCCCAACGAAGCCTACTGGGCTTATGTCGACTCCATTGTCGAGCTAGCATGGAGTAAAGGCATCCGAATCTGCATGGTCCCCTCATGGGGTAAATATGTGCACGGCAGCGGTGCGTCTTCCGTCATAAGGTCTTAGAAACACAACATAGCTTGGTCTAACCAGTACTAGACAACTCAGCCAGCGTACTTGACACGAACACAGCATTCACATTTGGCAGATTCATCGGCCAGCGATATCCATATCTTCCAAAGACCCTCGTTGGCGACACAAACCCTTACTGGCTAAACAAAACAGCCGTAAAAGCTGACTATACCAACGGTGGTGCTCCTCCAACTTACCAGGTCATTGACTGGTCACCGGTCTACGATGACTTGGCCAATGGCATTGTGGCCGGCGAGCGACAGGCTATCACAGACTCCTCTGCTCAGAATGGGCCGACGTGGTGGCCACTAATGTCGATCCACCCGACAAACCAATGGTTCACAGCCGGGCCGCTCGCGCTCGCACACGCTTTCTTCGGGGACCGGCCATGGCTTACCCTAGATGCCAGTCAGTCTGGTCACGCAGACTACCCGCCAAACCCTCCCATCCCTTGGTGGAATTGTCGGCGTGGCTGGGAGCCCGTCGAGCTTATGTACGCCGCGGGCTCGGTGCCTGGGGGTCGTGTGCGGCCGGTCATTGATAATGAGGCGCATTATGAGAACAGATATAATAATGGTAATAGCAGTAAGCCTGTTTGGAATGCAAGCGATGTGCGGATCGGAAGCTGGCAAGCGGTATGGCCCACATCCACTGAACGCATTTCGATGCTGTTACCGTAGGGGACGACGGAGAGCAGCACTGACGAAAGAGATTAGGTCTTCTCGGGCGCAGCGGGATTAACTTACGGGGCGAATGCCATGCAGCAGTGTGCTATCCCTGGACTTTTCGCCTCCGACGGTAGTGGGACAAGCGACAACTGGCTCATGGATCTCGATCTACCTGGATCTAGCCAGATGCAGTGGATCAAGAAGGCTATAACGGATAGAGGGAATACGACATTCTTCAGGCGTGTGCCAGCACAAGATATTATCGTGGGGAATGCTGGTTCTGACGATGCACGGATCACAGCCACAAGGGATAGTGGCGGTAACTGGATCATGGTTTATACCCCCACGGGGAAGCCGTTCCAGATTGAGACAATGAGTCTGGGCTCTTGCAATGTGCAGGCAAGCTGGTATGATCCCTTGAGTGGCGCGTATAGCAAACTTGATTATACTCAGTGTGGCGAAAACACAACTATTCGGACGTTTACCCCGCCTAGAACAAGTGGACATGCAGATTGGGTCCTGGTCTTGGATGTAATGCATTAGTGGATGGTGTGGCTTCGTTGGGCGATCTCGGCTTTAATACATGGGGGGTCAAAAGTCTGACTACACTAGCGCGTTTCCGCCAACGCGTTAAAAAATTATACTTTCTTTAACTATCTACCACACCACTATTATAAGATTTTTTAGAATCGATATCAGTAGAAATAGAAAATTAAATTAAGAGCTTTTTACTGAAACGCGCGCGGTAATTATATCTAGTTTAAAAAATAATCTATTGTCTACTTAACTTATAAAGTAATTTAATATCTATCGCTTTACTATTTACTTAATTAAAAAATACTTTTAATACTACTATACTTTAAAAAGTAAATCTAGAAAAAGCAGATCTTAAAAGTTTACCTTTATTAAAAAGTATTATATATATCTACTTACCCGCCGAAGATTTAAAATAGACTATAATTTTGCTCTCGTGATCCATATATAGCATCCTCGAGTTGTGTATACACGTTAAACTACCTCCAGATCTCGATCTGTTACTAGCTTTGGGGTTGGATAATATGAATTGTGCAGGCATTAGTGGGCTTTCCATCAGATAGGATTGGCGACGTACTAGCTGAGAGCTAAGAAAGGGCCAAAATTACGAAACATCGGCCGAATAATATAGACTTGTCCTGTCTCGCGGAGAGGTGTGCCCACACAGATATCTGCATCGCACATTTTGCTGTATTCGCATGCTTTTGTCATCCGAGTTGACTTACGAGGACACTGTTTCTGGTGCTTTAAACAAGTCGACTCGGTCGGGAATGTGGTGCAACCGCCATTTCTAAGTAGTCACTTCCATGAAGAAAGAGATACCTCAAGCGTGACTAGTCCGTGAAGGGTGGGGCAAATAAAACAATGGAGCTAGCTAGCTAAGTAGTCTTAATTTTGCTGCACATTAGCAGTTTTTCTACTCGCACCAGGTCATGGTTTCGCTACTTATGATGATGATGAATTCATTTGCCCGACGTAGCTTGCTCTAATATATGCTGCTATGCGGGAGTGCTGTCAGGCCTGCCGACAGCTTCAGAGTGGTTGCCAGGACTCTTCATATTAAGCACTCAATCAGTCTGATATCACTCCGAAATAGAATATTCACCAATAAAAATAGGAAGACAAGGCAAAGCGTATGGAAAGAAAAGGCATTAAAATATGTGGAAAAGATTGGAATCCAAATAATCAATAAAAAAAAAAAAGTAGTAAAGGTGAATCAAAGAAATACATTGCTAATTTGCTAGATACATACTGAAACATATGTATTGTACGTATGGGAATAATATACTGTGAGCTACTAAGAAACAACAAGGATCTTAAACCTTGATCCACCGCCCCATCCAAGTATTCACAATTTCTTTCGCTTCATCCACCAAGCCAAGGTCAAGAAGGAGCTGTGTGGTTCCACGGACGGCAGAGTCCAACGCCGAGAAAATCCAGGCATGAGTGTAACTAGTATGTTCGCCGATAAAGATTGTCTTGGATTCGGTTTGGTAATACGCAGGAAGATACAGCTCCTGCTGTCCGACAACAGGAGCCGCCCAAGCACCAGCCTGATGCTCGTCAACTTCCCAGCATTGGCGGTCATAGATGCCTGTAAATGGTCAGTAATCCGGTCTCAACTGCAAATAATTCGCCTAGAAACTCACCAGTGTATTGTTCGGCGGCGATGTCACCATGAATTTGGACCATAGAGCGCATTACCAGAGCAACGTGGTCCTCAGTGCTCAAGGCAGCGACCGACCGTGCCGGAGTATCACTGACGTACGATGCCAGGACAACGCCTGGCCCGGTGCCGTTAATGTTGAAGGATGGATAGCAAACCGACCCGATTCCCGCTAAGTCCACGGATCCGCATCCTCCAAAGATGGGCTTCTCCTGGTGTTCCCAGAATCGTGTCTTGAAGAGCAGTGACATCTTACAAGACTGGGCGTAATTCATGGAGGAGATAGCCCGACTCAGAAGAGATGAATAGCGAGGCATATCCCATAGCCGGACCTTGCTAAATGGTGCAGAGACAACTGCATAGTCATATTCTGCACTTTCCGGCTCTAGTTGCATTGGATCGTCGCGCCAATTGACAGCGATCTTTCCGGATGTCTCATTGAAGGATAGCCCCTGGATCTTGCGGTTCAAGGTTGTCTTATTCGCGACATGTGGCCAAAAGGCACGTGGGAGCGATTCAAGTCCTTTGTCAATGGTGCGCCATTGGGTGGCACTGAAGTAGACGCCTTCATAGAGACTATCCCACATCGGAGTGTCGTCAGTTCCAGCAACATAGTCGGTGATGTTGTCATTGTACCCGAGAGCATAGCGCAAGTAGCCCGCTTCTGACCAGTGGAAATATCCACTTTCGACAGCGGACTTGTGTGCCTGATACATGTTGGCGATGATCTTTGGGGTGATCTTGTCCGCAGTAGTATAGTCTGTGTACGCTTGCACTGCATCTGCGGCAGCTGTCGCATTGGAAGACGCTGCCTCGTAGTTAAGCGATGAATTCGCAGCTACGTCTGCCGCGGTAGGAATAAGTCCATTGGGCAAACGATTACCACCGGTGCTAGCCGGCACATTCGGACTGTTCTGAACGAATGGAATAAAATTTACAGCAAGTTCGGGAGTGTCCGAATTCATCTTGTTGAGCACATCGCCCAGCTGGAAAACCATCTTGTGGTCCTGAATTTCGAGGGTTTCATTCGTGTCCGCATAGGTGATGCTCACGGGGAACCGCATCGGACCCATCTCCTGGTACTGGTACTGGTCCGGGCGTGTATTGTTGAGGTATTCGGTACGGATACGGCCTCCTATTCTGCCGGAGGATTCAATGATGTGCCAGTTGTGTATGCCGACTGACTCTAGTAGATGACTGGTCAACAGGCCGGACATGCCTCCTCCGATAATCGCCACGGAGGCGTCCTTCGCTTGAGCCACGACGGCCTTGCCAGGCTCCTTCGCCTCCATGTATGCGATACCATCGAACCATGGCCCCATCGCATCGGCGACATCCGCAATACTCTCTCGCCGTACGAGTGGTGCGGCCACAGACACTGGGGTTGATCTTCCAACTAATGTTGATCCCGAAAACGCGTGAAGACAATGCAGGTGGGGAGCATCCGATGGTGTCGCCCAGACGAACCGCTCGGGATGAGCGTCGCGCTTCACAAACATGCTTCCGATCTCATGGTGCTTTTGGCTGGAACTGGAGAGATCACAGTCACCATACAGGAGGTGAATCTCGCCTTGGAAGTCCGAGTCGAGGAAGTCCATTCGGACGTTGTGTAAGGAGTCAGCGGTGACATCTGGAACTCGGAAACGGACCAGCTCCGTCTGCTTGTGTATAACAGCGGCGCAGCTTATGTGAAGAAAGCCCAAGGCCAGGAGCCCACTCATATAACGGTGAAATGTTGCCGCCATAGCTAATAATGGCTCAATATCTGTCGAGTTCAATGAGTTCTACTCCAGGAAATACATCAGCTTTCGGTGACATTCTTATAGCCGTTCTCTGAACAAGCTAGGGCTCTGCTGCGGAACATTTACTCCCTCCTTATCAGATACGATCATCACCCTCCAGCCGATAGGAATTTCACTCTACAATCTATCCTGTAATGGAAGTTTTAGCAATCCGAGTGAATTACCAAAGGAAGATACAGACAGTGCTACGCGATGAGTAACACGATATTGACTGATAACGAGCGGTACAACAATCACGGTGTGCAAAGTCCACTTATATTTCCTCTACTTATCGGCTCGGCTCTCTTATCGAATACAAACCAAGACGTCCCCGCTAATCCCCACGTTTATCCATCCGCATATCCGGGGAACCAGTTAGAAATGTTTCGGAGGGCATGTTGACAGGTACGAGATCGGAGATACCAAAATGTATAGGGTTTCCCTTCGGGGTAATGATCTACTCCCGCGGCTTGTTCCGACGTTCCGACTTGTCTTATCAGACGAACGAAGAATCACCGTGCAGTCGAAAGGGCGCGGGCGGAGCTCATCTTATCTTATCCTAGCCGACGGTATATAGGGCGTGGAGAACGGACTTCTCGTCCGCCCAGCCGTACTCATGCCACTATGATGAATGCGGTTAGAAGTAAACGATACCCTCGGTATGTTCCTGCGTCATGCGTGATAGACAGCAAGTCGTAGTGGAGTATCGGTGAGTTGCGTGATAACGGGTGGGAATGCCATCCCTAGGTGAGTAGGAGTGAACCTTGGATTTACGTAGATCGGTCTACTGCTATTATTTCTCCAAGCTTGAGACAAATATCGAGCGCTTCTCCCGCTTTCATTCTATCCTTTACAACTATATATATCCCTATCGCTCACGTGACTGAAGCGACCTCTCCATAGAGGAGCTGAAGTGTAAGAAGTACAAACTGTTTCGGAAGTCAGTAGTATTGTATAGATCTATGGAGGAACACCGGAAGAGCCTGATATTATAGAGGATATGATCAGTCGCAAGAAAACATTCTTAGCTATCGATATGAGATAGGAGCGTGGTAGCTAGAATTCGATGCAGCTTCGACTGGCCCCTGGGTAGCTCTACGGCTACCTTGCTAGGAACTATCTATGAAACTGCGTTGACATTAATAATTCTCTGTTACTGCACTGCATGTACGGTCTCCAGGTGACCAACGAGGTAGTGTTGGTTTTCTCGTAGTTTTCTTTGGTCAGTCTCAGTGAAATCTGGACCCTATTCGGGAATAAAGAAAATAGAAGGAGCTAATATCGCTTAAAAAGGTAACGATGGCGCCGACTGACTATTTTATTATCTTCACTTCTAGACTGCATATAAGGTCCCATTGTCGTGTCTAGTATAGCTCCAGAAAGGATAAATATCGTCCTAGTCTAAGGCTCGTTCAAGATACCGTTAGTCTACGACGACCTTTTGACTCGTCTTCGGGATCTTGGGTACTCCATTGTTCTTCCATCCTTTCTAAGTTGCTCTGATATGGATCACAATGATTTCTCCACTCGTACACTGGCGGATAATATATTAGCCATTACTAAAGCTATTAGGTAGTTAATCGAGGATAAAAAAACTGTGGTACTTGTGATGCATCCGTACGGCGGCATTGTCGGCAGCGAAGGGATTCCCACGAGCCTTAGCTATAAAGCGCGTCAGGCTCGTGGCTAGAATAGTAATGTTATTTATCTCTTCCATTACACAGCCTTTCTATTGGACAAGGCGAAATCGGTTCTGGAGACATTTAGCGAGTCGCCGAATAACGATGCTAGGGTACTTGCCTCGCCCTTCAACACCTAGGACCTGAGTGCATAATAATACTCTGCAATATAAACAGAAATGTCAACTCAATTGCAGAGAATATTCTGGCGGATGAACCCGAGACCTATTTGGTAAAGCAGTACGGATTCTCAGAGTAGATGTCGCTTAATCGACGAGATTTGTTCGGCGCCAAGGTACCAGTTAGGTCTCGGGGAGGTTGCCGCAAAGCCGGCTCTGAACAAGGATGGTACTGTGTCTTACTATTTACATACCTGTACGCCGTACAGGTATACCTTACCTTCCGCTGCCGCCACCGCCTTCAGTTACGCATAAATAAATTGGTATTATTGTAGTCATCAACAGTATATGCATATAACACACGAATCTTCATCCGACTTGCACCATGGCAACCGACTATGACTCTTTTGTTGAAGCCTTTTACATTTCCTGCGAAGCCGGTGACCTACTAAAAGCCAAAGAAGCCCTAGCCAGCGGTCGACTGACCCCCGAGGACCTAGAGGAGGGACTTGCTCTCGCCACTGGGAAGGCGCATTCTGATCTAGTGGCCGTGCTATTTGATGCTGGGGCTCCTGTGTCCGATTTGACAGTAGCTGCTCTTCCTGGGACTTCAGGGGTAAAGCAGCACCCTAGTGTTATTCGCCAGTATCTTGATCATGGTCTTGACGCTAACGGCAGCTACAGCAACGGTATTCCTATCCTAGCGTATGTATCAGCTTCGTTCGTTGAATATTCAAGAAATGCAACTCACCTTTGACGACAGTCTAATGATGGATCCTGCCTGTGCTCAAGAATTACTCTCGCGAGGCGCTGACCCTAACCGATCTGATCCCCAAGGGGTGACCCCTCTCACCCTAGCCATTAACAGCACCCGCGAAGAAGATACATCTTTGATTGACCTGCTTCTCGCGTCTGGGGCCAAGCTGGAACCGGATCTGCTCTTTGTTGCGACGGCTCCGCGCGTGCCGCAAGGAGAGTTCATGACTAGGTTTCTTCTAGCTAAGGGTCTTAATCCTAATATAATGTCTGTCAAGTATGGCAACCCAATACACCGCGCTATCCACTCTGCTAGACCGAATATTGTCAAAGTGTTGTTGGATGCAGGTGCAGATTCTACAGGACAATCGGCTCATCCTCAGTATCGTGGTGGAAGTCCCTTACAAATCGCTAAATGTATACGGTCGCCTGAGCTCCAGAAGACTATGCTGGCTCTCCTTCGGTCGCGAGGCATAGACATTGGCGGAGGCGCTGGTCCCGTGGAAACTGAGTGATGCTTTTAGCACGGTCCCTTCAACCGTTGGAGATTCGGAGTTGCTTTGACCTCGGCACTATTCTGGAGATTTAGAGGGCGGGTGTTAAGATTGTGTTGGAATGCAGATTCTAAATTAGGACATCACATATGCACATGGAATTCTCATCGAGTTTACGGGCCACTATAAGCCATCCCCAATGGGGATATAGATACGAGTAGCGCAAATCACAAACCCGGATATAACGAATCCCTCTATGTAGTGGGTTTTCAACATGGAATCAAGGTTTCACTTAAACTAAGATTAATGGACGGTCAGTAAATGCTGAATTGCTCCGTTATCTTATAGTTCATAGAACTTAATTATCCTATTTAATTTTTCGAAACTTTAACTAATATAATGAATGGAAGTAGTACGTAAAAATACAAATAATTAATAGATCACTCAGGATATTATAGTCCTTAGTAGTACAGGATAATAGCAGGAGCACTACTATTAGATAAGGTTTAACTATTAGAAAGATCCACTTATTCCTCGTTACTATAGGAAAATTATCGTGTATAAGAGTGTATCTCTAGATCTTTACTGAGGGGGAAGAGCTATTGTAATCTGAGAATATTCATTTTTATATAATGGCTATACTAAGAAGGTGTAGTCCTGGATTAATTAAAGTTCCCTAAAACTTGAATCTGCAAGTACAAAGTATTTCCTATATTACACCGGCTTGACTTTTACTATCTATAAGCCCCTTTACTAAAGTCCTAGGGAGTTATAGAATAATAGTAATAGATAATTTAGGAATTTATATTTTTTACTTATTTACTTATATCATATTTCTTTTTGGGGGGGGGGGGGGATGAAAGAAGGGTGATTTCCAATGCTGTCGAATCTAAACTAAAACGGCGTTTCAATAACCCACTAGAGTGGACTGTAGTAAGGGAATGTGAGTCTCTTTTTTAGACCTCGAACTCAAATCATCTGATCTCCACTACATCAAACATTAGATTTTTGCATATAGCGAACCGTTGTGCCATGTACTGTCGATCGATGATATTTATTCATTTCTTCCTGTTTCTCTGCTTCATATAGGCAGCGTCACTATTTATAGATAAAGCTTCTGCAGCTAGGGGTCAACAAAGCCACTGCGGGTCGATCGAACTAACCCGCGAGGAATGCTCCGAATTATGTCCGGCAGATCGGCAACACTATTGCTGTACTATGGACAACAGCCAAGCAAGGGGCTATCCATCAGAGTATTTAAGTCCGGCATCTTGCTTGGGTACTGATTTCTATTTAACTCCTGCTAGCGACGGGTGTTATAAACCGTGGTTTCACTACTGATCTATTCAATTCATCAATCGAGAACCGTTACCTCTAGTATGACCACAATATCCCTGGTTCCTATAGACTACACAAGATATTTCTAACAAGCTTAACAGACTACAAGATGAAATTCACGTGGCCATTTCTCGCAGTCCTCCTGGTAGGGGGGGCTTCAGCTGCTGCCCCCCAAACATGTTCCGGGGAGGTAAGACTCTACATTGAGAAGCAAATCACGAATTCAAATGTTAACTCTGGTTCCTGAATTTTCTAGAACGAAGAATTCAAGGAATGTGGGACCGCTTGTCCTCCTTCTTGCGATTCACCACATGCCCAAATTTGTACCATGCAATGTGTTGTAGGCTGTCAGTGTATAGAGGGCTATGTACGCAACGCAGTAAGTATCACTGGGTCAGTATATATTAAACACACCAGACTAATTTCTCCCGAAATTATAGGACGACCAGTGTGTGGCCTTGAGTGAATGTCCGGAGGGTAGTACTGAGCACTAGTTTGTCAGTATAAAAGCTTAGTACTAAATAAGATAGGAATGTGAGGTGGCTGGATTTATCCTGGGAATATAAACGAGCCGAACCCTGTCAAGCTATAGTCATTCTTATTTCTACGTTATGGGCATGTTGCCTATCACTTAGTTCGGTGCTCTACAGTAATATCTAATGCTGCGCCGGTTGCTTCAATTCTACATGGCTGCGTTCAGTTGTCAGCGTGGCTACGATTTATCGATGTCAAATTTTCCTCTTATTGACATCAATTCCGTTCATTCCGAGTATAAATAAATTGCCACGCGGGGCTCTCACGCATTTAGGGAAAATTCACATTAGATAGTATTGGTAACTTTATCAACAATCAGAGTACGCGAACACATATCCAAGCCCCGGTTCCACCGATGATTACAGTTTTGACATACAGTATTAAGCTCCCCGAGATAGCCGTACACAACATTTCAATATTCACTCGCCATGAAGATTAATATTAATCCCGGCAGACAATGAACCCGTGATCAAGCTCGACCACCTTGCCCTGATCAAGCTTGACCCAGGTTTGCCGTGCATTGAGCTCGGCATTCACATTGGGGTGCTGAAAAATGTGGCAGACGCTCGTCTGCTGGAACCTATTGAACTGGGCGCTCGAGGCACTAACGACGCCGTTGACAACCACAGAGGTATGGCCCCAGAGGGCCTGGATGGAGCGTGGGTTGCCGTCGGTGGGAATATCAACGTTGGCGTTGGCGCCAGACTGCTCGTTGCTGAGCTGGACGGTCACAGACTGAACGTTGGTAGGACCAGCAATGACGCTGGAGGTGGCCATTAGGCCCAAGGCAAGTGGAATAAACCGCATTTTGGAAGTATCGCGTGGATAAAAAGGCGCAAAGTGTATCTATTTGAGGATGCTGATTGAGATTAAAGCTTCTGATGATTTTGTTGTATACATCTTGAGCATAGCTTTCAGCTGCTTTATATACATTTTCGTGTTGTATAGGCCTGAGCATAATAGGGATTGTTGGGTTTAATTGTTCTCGGCTCGATGTCATCGGGTGAGGTCGATCCATGGATTGCGAGCTGGAAATACGAACCGAGAGCTCAGCTCTCGCCGGATGCGGATATAGCCTCCTCTCGGCTTCCGCCAAACGAACGGTACGGTTAGCTGCAGTTAACCGCTCGTTAGTGGTCGTATGGCTCGCTACGCCGTGGATATTATATCCGCTGCGCGTAGCTCTCGTCAGATGATCCATGACGCATATCTACATCTGTTCTGGTCGGTAAAGCAAACCACTCGACTCGAACTTTTGCTTGACAAGAGTCATGTAATCGCGGCAAGATTTGTTCTAGATTGTCATCGCCATTCTGCAAACCATGAAACACACGACATGGCCTTATCCACACATGGAATTACCTCAAGAAGTCGCCTTCTGTGTCATGCTTGTGTATTGTGCCGTCACTTAACTGTCATTTGCGTCCTGATAACCCATGTAGTTGTGGTAATAAGCTCTACTTGCAGCTTGACCTTCCTGGCCGCCCATATAGCTATTAGGTGACGTCGCAGCTATGTATCCATAAGGTGTTGGCCATGCTCGGCTATGGCGCTTGATTCCGCCAAACGGTATATAACAAGCTCAGAGGGCCACTGAGTGAGCTAAAGCTACGGCAACACTTCTTTCCTTGGTAGCTCGCCTCTTTTAATACCACCGTAGCATTCTCCTTCGATCTGGGTTTGGCTGGGTTGGCACCGACATACTACGTGGAGACTTCATAGATCGGTGTCAAATCATTTGAATGCCTACTGATCCGACGATTGCGATATCCCACGAAATGAGTCCTACTATGGCGGCATGTACCGCTTTGTAGATCACCGACAAACCCAATGTCGACCCTAGCTCTCAAGCATAGAACGTTACTACAATGGGACTGAATGCTGGTGGGTTACCCACCTCTCTCTTTATGTCATTTAGTTCATCTAGGACGTCTATACGCAAGGTTGACAGAAGGAAAGGAATGGTCTTCCCCAGGATACCAATTGCAAGCTTCTCAATCAATAGATGAGGCACTTCTAGCATCTCTGCCAGCCTTGTTGAAGCCTTTATTGCCCCTATTGTCACTGCTCTACCGTACCTAGCGTAACGTGGCAAAATCACCTAGTCCGGGTGGACGCTTTGTGGTGATATACTGTAAGTATCTTGTATGCGAGTTTAAGCAGCGCGAATTACTCAGCATGGGCAAAGACATGTACACGATGAAATGATGTAAAGCGGGCCAATACGAGCCCATGTGGAGTGATTTTGTTTAAAAGCTCCTTCTGGATAGCGGATTCTGAGCCATGGGGCCCGCCGGTTCGTACCAGACAGAGGTGAAGCTAAAAGTTGAGAAGGCGTTCTACCCTGCATCGATGGTCACATCTTCCCGTGTAAGCGTACCAAGGATAATTACCAGATACCAGATTCGCTTTAGCCAATTTTGGCTAGCTAGTCACTGATTTATTATGCCCTGAACTGGAAGTAAGCTTCCCCGTCTGACGGGCGTTCAGCTACGACAGAACAGCTGACATATTGCATCATAATTTCCTCATTTGTCCCTGTGTGGTATGCTTGGGAACTTGTGGTGCTACTGTAATCTTGATATACAATAATGTTTGTTTATCGACGTTCAGTGCTTGTTCACTACCAACTTCTGGCTAATATTGTTCCACCAATGGTGTTTGATTTAAGCTAGGGTTTATATATCTTTAGGCTATATGTTGTGTTTCGGGCGTGTTTAACCCGACACCCGAGAGCAGCGATGTTCCTCCATTTACCATGAAAGTTTGAACTACCATTAGTATTCCCCGCAAAAGAACGAGTCCGGCTTACATTTCGATGATCCCCCGCATTATTGAGATGTGTAATAAAGATGTAGTGGATCGACAATTACCAAGGATCTGGTGATGTGACCTCAATGCCACCACGGCGGGGAGACACACCAGAACCTGCATTATGGGATTCATTTTGAACTCCTTGGGAACTATCGTCCTAGTCATATGTACTACTATTCATGCAGCTGCGGCAGACAAACCAGTGATCAATCGCCAAAATGTCGTCCGTCGATATAACCCTATACGTACGGACCTGTCTACCACAACCCCCATGCAGGTCGGCAACGGTAACTTCGCATTCGGGGCCGATATCACAGGCCTGCAGACATTGCTCCCATTCAATATGCTATCTTCCTGGTGTTGGGCCAACGACTCTCTACCGAGAACGCCCGGCCAAACCGAGCCGTCAGACTTTACGGGTCTGGACTGGTGGACGCACGATCGCCTTCTGAATTATAATATACCGAACCCGGCCGAGGCAGAGATCTCGCAGTGGCTGATTGCCAATCCACATCGGGTCAACCTTGGCCGGATAGGGTTTCTATATAAGGGAGACAGTATTTCTATGGATGATATCACTGGAATAAAGCAGAGTCTCGATTTATATGGCGGGATTTTGACTTCGGAGTTTACTCTACATGGAGAAAGGGTTTCTGTTACTACTGCTGGAGACCCATCCTCTGATATCGTAGCGGTTGATGTGCAGTCGTCGCTGCTGCAAGATGGTACCCTGAGTGTGTTCTTTGACTATCCATTGACCACAGGAACGAACAAGTTCGAGGCGCCATTTGTGGGCAACTGGACGGTAACATCGGAGCATACAACTGTCTTGAAGAATATTACAACCAAAGGGGCTGTTATTAGCCACTCACTGGGAGGTACAACGTACTATAACACCATTCAATGGGAACAGCCGGGCAATATGACCGGTCCTTTTAAGGGGACACACCGATATTTACTCCAGCCTATTGCAGGGACAAATCAGTTCACATTTATTACGGAGTTTTCAGCATCTACAAGAACGAGGATCCAGCCATTTGCAGATGTCAAAAGGGCCTCCACACGCTGGTGGGCTGAATACTGGGAATCCGGGTCATTTGCAGACCTGACGGAGTCCGGATCTTCAGACGCAGACGAACTACAGCGACGTATTATCCTCTCCCAATACTTGCTCGCCGTGAACAGTGCCGGTAAAGAACCTCCGCAAGAGTCTGGCCTCCAGAACAATGGCTGGTACGGCAAATTCCACCTCGAGATGGTTTTCTGGCATCTAGGCCACTGGGCGCGATGGAATAAATGGGATATACTAAATCGCAGCCTGGATGTGTATAACCGGTTTCTCCCCTCGTCTATCGAGCGTGCGGAAAGGCAAGGGTACGCCGGTGCGCGACTGGGGAAGATGAGTGACCCATCCGGGGCATCCGCGCCTGGGTCGCAAAATGCGCTACTCATCTGGCAGCAACCACACCCAATGTATTTTGCTGAGTTAGAGTATCGCTCGAGGCCGAGCGTGGAAACCTTGGATAAATGGGATCATCTTCTGGATCAGCTCGCGACATGGATGGTTTCTTACGCGTGGTGGAACACATCTACACAGGTATATGACCTTGGTCCACCAATGTATCCATCGTCGGAGAATACGAGTCCTAACTCAACATACAACCCAACCTTCGAGCTGGCCTATTGGCGGTTTGGTTTAAAGATTGCCTCGGACTGGAAGACTCGGCAAGGCGTATCTGTGCCTGAACCTTGGACTCAAGTACTCAACAACCTTGCGCCACTTCCGATAGTTCACGCGGCATATTCCATTTGTGCTGACCTGCCGGATATGTGGAATAAGAGCAGTTATACATCCGATCATCCCAGCCAGATTGCCGTCTATGGGCTTCTACCGCCAACAGCGGGTGTAGATCCATCAACTGTGAACGCTACCATGAATCTCATCGCCCAAACGTGGAACTTCACAGCCTCCTATGGATGGGACTTTCCGATGCTAGCGATGACATCGCTCCGTCTAGGAAATATTGATGAGGCTATTGAGTATCTACTACACCCGAACTTCCAGTTTGATGACGTGGGTAATCCTGTGGGAACGGTGGTTCCGACTCCGTATTTCCCAGCCTCCTCCGCGTTGTTGCTTGCCATTGCGACGATGGCTGGAGGATGGGATGGTGAGGAGGGGGTGCATTTTCCCGAGCACTGGGGTGCGAAGGTTGAGGGCTTTTCGGCGGGCTTATGAAGACTATACATCGTCTATGTTCTTTTATTTTAGGCTCTTGTTCTCTCGGGAGCAAAAATAGTATCAGTCATGGAAACGTTTAATACCATGAGATAGGATTGAAGATCCCTGACAATAAGTTGTCACTTAAGGACCAGCCGCAGACTTCGCAATGATAGCTTCACTCTGAACTACTGTAAACTAAATTCATACAAAAGGCTCATCCATCTCAACAGGTGGTACATCTTGTTCACCGAGATGGGGCGGATATTTTCCACCCTTTAGCAACTGCACCCACAAGCCTTGCAACCCGTCATAGCACAGTCGGAATCTCCTACCCCAGGAATACAATCCTCAGCAGTAGTACAAGAAGTCCAAGGACCAGTTCCTTTGTTATGGGCCAGCCAGCACCATTGTCCATTGCCATTGCAGCGTTGCCAACACCATCTATCCTTTGAACAACCGTACGGGGATTGAGTCCAGCATTTCTGGGCGGCGAATATGTTGGCCAACTGCTTGGCGGCTGGGGTATCGTTCTCAAATTCGTCGCCTCTGGGAACGACACGAGCAAGCACGGTGCTGGGTAAAGCCGCAGCAAGGAGGAGGCCGATGTTGAGCTTCATTGCTGCCGGTCTGTAATCATCAGTAACAACCATTGTACTTTTCAGATAATCACATACATATTCTTATGGATCAGGCTATGGAAGAAATAAGAACTGTTTGTTGTTCTCGGCAGGTAGAAAGGGTTGTTCGTCAGTAAGTGGGAGGGAGAAATATATATATGTATTCTTGCTATAGGCTGTCTCGGTCTTTTGGCAGCACGCGACAAGCCAATCCCAGGAATGTAAGTTATCCAACTAAATTGGTTAAGAGTCCGACAACAAACCAATGCTACGGGCACCATGAGTCGATTGATAGGGGTCATTCAGAGCAGGGCTTAGACACTCTAGATGGTCTTACAGGTTGTAATCCTTGAACACTAGCTTGCTAGTTAGATACATGCATGGTATCTTACCGTGGGCATAACGGGTCGGGCGACACAGAAACGAAGTCAGCAAAAAGCGGCCAGGGAAAGGGGACGCTAACATATAGCTAATTAACAGGCTTCTGTGGTGTGGGTGTCATAGTACGCTGAATGTGCACTCAGTGCCGTGTAAGACAGCTTGCACTGGCTTTCTTGAAGCGAATAGGCATAAATTCGCCCGCGGCCGGTCCAGGATGTATCACAAGGGAATACCAATCCATGGAGTATCTGTTTCCCTACGTGATATGGATGAGCCCTCTAACCCGAGAAGTCGCGGGTCTCAAGCACTGGTTAACATACCTGGACTTCCTGCGGACCGGGAGGATTCCTGAACCCTGCATGTTTCAGCCTCATGGACTTGTACAGATGGCTCTATATGGTTGGAGGATGAAACCTTCATCTTTCTCTCAGGAGACTTCAATTCATAATTATCTCATTATATACTGCTATCCAACAACGGCCATGATCAAAGATACAAGTGATGTGTTGATATGGAGATTTACATTCAAAGCAACGTCGACTGTGTGATCTCTAACTAAGTGAAAGGGTGGCAACTCCCAGGCATTCAAGGTTACATCGCTGAGATAACCCTATTCGACGTGGGACTAGGATATCCTTGCCATAGGCTCCCGTTCAAGGGGCTCCGCTCTCTGCCCCAATATTGGATGATTCAACCAACAAGCAGTATTGGTTCCGGGACTGCCTGGCGGGTTACCGCCCCAGTTATTTGAAAGGAAACCGGGGCACCGATGCATTCAATTCTCAATTGGGTTAGAAAAGGGTCTCAAATACCTCATATCATTGTAGTAAGACATTGCATTGGCCCTGGATTGATTCACCCTTGTTTCCTGACCATCGCTCTGTATTTAAAAGTCATTTCTCCATGACAGGATTTTATCTTGATTCTAGCCTCTGGAATGCAAAGTAAAGTCCGTGCGTAGAATGTAAAATGTCACCCAGCCCACATACCTAGTTAGGTAATTGGTGCATCACGTTGCATATGGCAAATTGGCGAAAGATTCAAGGAACAATTCCTATCACCACCGATCCCAGATCTCTCCTCCGTACATCGGTGATCCTTGGAAATTGGGATCGGCGATACCCCTGTCAACTAAGGTGTTCTAACCCTATGTATGAAACTAGCCTAATGATCCTTGTAGGTTCCGCCGTTCTACGCCGCATACAGATAGCGAATGCCACTATATCTGTATAGAGAACGGGCATGGCGTCGGAGAGCACACCACTATATTAGCGCAAATTGCTCCTTAACGAGCCAGTTACTACCGGGTTGATGAAGGGTATTGAGTTGGACGTTGTCGAATATAGCATGGTAGCGTTATGTAGCCCTTCGTACAGACTTGCGTATTCCTGCATATAATCGCTAATTCGTATGTATATTCTGAGTGGATCAAACCGTGAGAGACCCACACTTTCGGCCTGTTCAAGGTCTCGTGACCAGGCAAAAGTCGTGTCTCACCGAAAAGGATGTTTGTCAGGCCTGGTGACTCAAGGCTCTTTCAGAGATTGCTTCAATCCTGCTGGGACATGCGGAGTACTGCGCAGCGCGTCGGCAAGCTATTGAATGGAGTATACATGTGTGCATGCAAGGGTCCCATGTACTTAACGGGAGTGGTCTCTGCCAATTACATGACCAACGTTCAAGGAAGCTCTTGAGAGGCTATGCTTTGGCTACTTTACTCTGAGCTTAGCCCAAAAAGAAGCCTGAAAAAGGATTATCAGATCTCTGTATCGAGCCCAATCTGTGCATTCATGCTTTATGTGCCCTAGCGGTATTTCTTTCGACAGCATATTAATTCATTGGACCTTCGGCTATTTCTCGGCTAGTCCAGGTTCCCCCAGCTTTGCTGCGACACCTAAGCTCCTCCGTACTGCGTACTATCTGCTAGTCGCCCCGATAATGTCACTATTACATCCTCTAGCCATTTTTGCTTCATGTGAATGGCCCGCGTCCGCGTATGTCGTTAGTGGCTCAGACAAAGTGACCTCCCATGGGTGAGTCAGAAACGTCATGAGCAAAGCCTGATCATGGGAATTCCTCAAGCAATCGTATTGGATTATACTGATACATCACGGAGTCAATCCTGCACATGTCCAGGCCTGAAATACTAGACATTATAACCTCAGCTGGTCAGGATGGCCTTTGGTAAATCATCCGTTCATTGATACAAGAAACTACTACAAAGCAACCACAAAAAGAGCCAACCAGGGAAGGCGATATATATGGTAGCTTTTTTTACTACCAAGGCGCATCGTCGTCCGTGGCCATTCGATGACTATCTGAATGAGTCTCAACGAAGTCGACAATATCCTTCAGAGCAAGCTTCGGGCCGCTCTTATCGTTATACTCATCAGTTTGATATCCATAAATAAGCCCATCAATACCAGCTTCACCCAGTAGATACCTCACCATCTCAGTATCGCCTTCGGCACTAGTCCAGCTGAAGACCTTCCCAAGTTTCCCTCTGTCACGCTGCCAACTTCCATACCGAAGCTGTGGGTAGATGTCGACTCCTTTTCTAAGCCACGAATCACCAAAATCCATAGCCATCTGCTTAACTGGTATACCACTCCCCGTGTTACGGTACAAATGCAAGATAGTATTCGTCTCGCCACTCAAAACAACCGCTTCGTTTGCGTTCAGCCCGTCCCTGATCACCTTGAACCCGCGACTCTCAGCTGTTTCGAAAAAGCCATATAGTACCCGTATACCGGCTGGCTCGAGAATCTCCCGAGCTAAACCCCGCAAGGCTTCGATGGAGCAGGGTCGGTTTGGTCGGCAAAAGTCCGGGTTTTTGATGTCCAGCCATACGAAGGAAATATTGTAGTTGTTTATCCACCGGTTCTGCGCGATGAATCGGAAGAGGTCGCGTGCGGTAGCGCCCGCACTGAATAGCTTTCCATCGTGATCTGCCCACCAGTCGAAGTACCAGGCTGTTAGGTCAATCTCTAATGCATTCGCACCGTGAGAGAGCGCGGCGGTGACTGCTTCGTTTCGTAGGACTCGGTGTGCGATCGCGTAGATCGGCCGTTGGGTTGAAGAGGCGAGGGCCTGGTTCAGTAAGTGGAGTGTACACAAAACACCAACGAGTGCCGACTGAAATTGCATAATTGAAAAGACAGAGGAATCACGCATGCAGAGGGATCCCGAATGATGAGGCTAGAGGCTGTTTATAGTCATTATGTCCAACGTCTTCGCTTGAACTCTGATTGTCCACCCAGCATGAAACGCACTGTCGATCCTTGGATGACTTCAGCAAATCCTTAGAGTCAGATTAAACCCCTAGCAGACTCAACGGGCAGGGCAACCTCTTTGTGTGGTTGCCGAGGCATAGCCAGGGCAATCCTTGTACATTAATGTGAGCATTAAGGCTGATGCAGGGCTCCTCCGTCGGTCAAGCCCAAGTCAGACCACTCCAAACGCATAAACTCTCCACAATATTCCCTGTCTATAATACTCGCTATACTACGGATAGCATCCGACATGTTGGCTTCTGAACCAGTGGTGTGAAATGCCCTAATTGGGGCGACCACATTGATCCGGCTCTTGGCATGTTCGTGCTAATCGAACGGATCCGCAGATCTATTCCCACTGTGGTAGGGCGCGAAAAACTCGTGTGTAGAAGTCAGTGCTCAAGCTACTCCGTATTACCGCCGGACATCACTATCCGTACTCCTATTCCTATTATACCACGGACGAAACCCTTGGGAGCAAAGAATATATGGACTCGCCCATCGGTCGTACGGCATTCATGGTGAACCCTTATACTGTAATACTAGTAACACCGTAAGAATACCCCTTGATAATGCTTGTGGGACATTCACTTATATATCTTTGGTTGAACACAATGGTAAGGCGCAATCGCTTCAATGCCGTTAAAAGATATCCTTATTATTCAGATACCCTACTGCAGCCCCAACGGGGGCTCTTCCCGGGTCACCGACGGCCGTTCGACTAACTTAGGTTCGTATCTAATTAGAGGGTATTCTACAAGGAGAGTGCAGGATTCATTCCCTTCGTGCTTTCAGTTCCCTTCGCGCTGTACCCATTCTCTCGCTCCGTCTCGTTGAAAATATATAACCTTGAAGACAATACGAGGTATATGTGGACGCTCTACCGTTGGTGAAGCTCAGTTTCTAAAGCACTGGCGATTAGAAGTATGTATAAGTTCCTTGCGGCCGTTTTCTGTCGATATTATGTTCCACCCAAACGCACTCAGTTTTAGTATTAGATGACAGATTACTCACGCCTTTCAACGCTTGAAGAGAGAAAAATACCGTGGAAGTATACTCGTGAATGGATCATGACGCTGATCTGCACAAAAGGCATCTGTTAGACACGCCAGTTATGTGCTGTCTAAATGTTGTGCCCTCCCCCATGTGTAGTATTATTAATTCGGATGGCTATCCAGAGCTTGAACCTGGCACTAAAGGAAGACAAAAGTTAGTGTATGTCGCGACCCAGAGATGAGAGTTGTCCAATGATGACCAGGGGGCTTACCATCTGCCAATATATACCCCTTCTCTGTAATAGTTCAGTATGAGTACCGCGCTCAACGATAACCGATCCCTGTCCAGGCTCCCCTTCCCCGAAAACAAGTATCAAGTCAGCCTTCTGAATGGTAGCTAGTCGGTGAGCGACTGCAATGATTGTCATCGTTTTTCTCTCCGCCAGTCGCTCTAGAGCTTTCTGTATCAGCCTCTCAGACTGTGAATCGAGACTGGACGTTGCCTCGTCTAAAAGCAGTAGCCGCGGTTTACGGATGAGTGCACGCGCAATACAAAGTCGTTGCTTTTGCCCACCGCTGAGGGACAATTGCGCATTAATACCCAGGGACGTGGAGTAGCCCTCGGGAAGAGATATGATAAAGTCGTGAAGTTCAGCATCTTTGCACGCCTCTATCATCCGGGCTTCCATCGATGCTGGAAACTCCCCATCATCCCCCGGTTCAAGACCTAGGAGAAGGTTTTCGCGAATGGTCCCTTCAAATAGCTTGGGCTCTTGAGAGACCAGAGATAACGCTCCGCGATAGGAAGCAAGTGGGTAGGATCGGATATCCCGCCCTGCAAACTCTATGCCCCCCTTTGTAGGGTCGTAAAACCGCTCCAGAAGAGAGACGATGGTGGATTTGCCACATCCCGATGGCCCAACAATCGCCACATACTGGCCACTGTGAATGCTGAAATTCATGCCTGTAAAGACAGGGCCACCCCGGGAAGGATATTGAAAGGTGAGATCTCGGCAGCACACATCGGCCTGGTGAAAGGGTGGAACACCAGGCATCGATTGTGGACACCGAATCCGATCATTGTCCGATTCATCAGGCCTAGATCTGGTCCCCAGTATGCGGCGTGCAGATGCTGTCGTCTGTGCCATATTAGGACCAAAGCTAAGAAACTGACCTGCGGACTGGCCCCCTTGGATAATAGCGATATAGACCACGAAGAATGCCACTGGGTCATATTCTCGAGAGGCAAGGAGCTGCCCACCGTACCTGAAAGCGGGTTTGTCCACATTAGCTTACACATTCGATAGGTAATGAGAGGGGAGCAGCAGGACATGCTGTTACGTACCAGAAGGTAAGTGCCATAGCGCAAAGGTCGATGCTATCGGAGAATGCAACCACGACCGTCGCAAGCCATGCCTTGCGAATAGCCTTGACTCGTTGTTGCAACAGCAGATTAGTGTATCGTTGCAGGATGGTGTCCTCCATCGTGAGTGCTGTAACTGTTCGAAAGGCACGAATGGCCTCTGTGGCGAACTTGGAGCTTTCGGCGTAGACCTCTGCATTCATGCGCTCAAATTGGACTTCATATTGGATGCGAAAATACGAAGCCAGCAAGATGAAGGGCAAAGCAGCGAAAAAAGCTACCGCAGCCAATTTCCAGCCGAAGCTAAACGAGATAGCAACACATCCTATGAGACTAAAGATCGAGATGAGTGGGAAAATCCCATTGACGCCAAATAGCTCTTGGAGCTGTTTTGGGTCTGTTGAGAGCCTGCCCATGAGGGTACCGGAGGAATTTTCTTGCTGGTCATAATATGATACAGGCTTGTGTAGGATGCTCTGAAAGTAGTCTTCGCGATAGTTTGCCGCAATATGCTATTTTTGTCATGTTAGCTCTTCTCTGAGGACCCCGTCCGATTAGGAATATAGCTGTCACCTACAACTGACATAGATGTGGAAGCATAGCCTAAGTCGAAGTAGAATGCGCCCATCGCGAGGGCAAGAACAAAAAACATCAGAGACCAAAAGTTGGCCGCTTCTATTAACTTGCTGCCAGTAAATTGAAAGACCTGAACGAGCTTTGCAAACAGCCAGCTCTGGAACGCAAAGGCCGCTATATAAATACGATTCATATTAGTTGGTTCATGAGCGATGATAGACCTGTTGAGAGGGATTTGACAAAGGGTCTCTTACAGCCAGCACCCATTGTTCCGATGATGGTCAGAGCGAATACTAGCCAGTGCGCTTTTTGCTCGCGTATGATATGCCATAGGGTACGGAATGCGCCTGGCTCCCCCTTTTTCTTGATGACCTCCTCATTCTCAGCTACTTCGCAATCGTCAGCTGCGTAAACTTCAACTTTGGTCTCCTGAGGGAGAGTGTAGGAATGCTCTTCGATTGCGGCAGCATCCGGGGACACAATCTCCAGTTGCTGCGCATGTACGAGGCTATAGTACACTCCACCATGGTCCATCAATTCCTGATGCGTGCCCTCCTCCGCTTTCGAGCCGTCCTTGATCACAATTATATGATCTGCCCGAATGACAGTGGAAAGCCGGTGAGCAATCATAATGGTGGTTCGGTCTTTAGAGACCCGATCGAGGGCCGCCTGGACGACCTGCTCACCTCGGATATCGATTGAACTCGTCGCCTCATCGAGAATTAGAATTGATGGGTTGGAGACAATGCTTCGAGCGATGGCTAAACGTTGACGCTGTCCTCCACTCAACGTAATACCACCCTCGCCCACCACAGTGTCGTACCCCTACGGCGCCGGTTAGCAACAATCTGTGTAAAAGTGAGGAGCCGGGAGGCCTGCTTACCAGAGGGAGTCTGTCTATAAATTCGTTGGCAAAGGCGTCGCGGC